GTCACAAAAAAAAACATTGCTTATATATATTTTGTTCAAATAAATATATGTTTTAAAATAAAGACTAATTTATAGTAGTTAATGAATTATATAGATAAGGGCAAACCAGGTAACTTTTTTATTTAATTTTTTTAATATAAATTAATATATGTTGTATTATTATTTATTTTATATTGTTTGTATTGATTTTTTTTTGCTAATCTTTTTGCTTGTATTTAAAAATGATTTATTTTGTATTTTTATTATAGAAAATTAAATAAAAGCTATAGAGGCGGTGTTATTTTATAATAGAATGCAAAATAATAAATTTATTATTTTTAATAAAATAATAATTATATAAAAGTATTATTTTATAAAAATAATGAAAAAAAAATAATAATCAAAAATAATAATTTTACTGCTTGGTTTTGTGTGCATGACCTTTTTGGTAGAGTTGTTCACGAGCAGGACGACCCATTAAAACCACAAATAGATTATGTCCGGCCCAAGCCCACAAATGATCAAATCTTATTTTTATCCAATCCACATAATGAATTTGATTTTGTTACAGATGGCTGCACAAGCTGCTAATATCAACATTTCCTATGTTTTTATTTTTGAAGACGAGTTACATCTCAAACCATCAAGATCGATAAACGAGAGCGAATTGAGGTCAGATATGGTAAACCAATTAAAGAACTAAGCATGGTCACGTTATCAAGGTTGACGATCATGTTCCAAACCCACAAATCAAACCATGAGCACATGAAATTTGATCCAAAGAATTAAGCACGATCACATATATCAGGGATGAGAATCACGTTTCAAAAGAAAACACCAGGTGCACATGCAATTTGATGCAAAGAACTAAGCATGGTCAGGTTATAAGGGGTAAGGATCATATTTTGAACCACAAATCAACACACACTACTAGAAAACCAGGTATCAGCGATGAACATCAGCGAGGGAACTTGCCCATCGCAGATCAGCGAGGGATTAGCAAGGAAAATACCAAAAATACATTCTCTCGCTGATCCATCGCTGATACCTCGCTGATACTCTGCATTTTTGTAGTGACATGCAGATGTCACGGCCTAAAACAAGGTTTCAACAAAATACAAAACACTAAAATAGTTTGAGCATATGTATCAACTCAAGTAATTAATTAATGCATCACAATATATATATATATATATAGAGAGAGAGAGAGAGAGAGAGAGAGAGAGAGAGAAAGATGAGTGATCAAATGAAAACCGCCATCGTTTATGTAAACCATGTAAACCAATCTAATTCATCCATTTTCTTGATCAATGGTCAAGATTAGTTTATGTTATATTAGGAAATTATAAAAAATAATTTTATAATCCCAAAAAATGCCAAATTATTTTATAATCCCATAGAGAAGAGAATATATATATATATATATATATATATATATGAGCTATCAAATGAAAACAACTCTCATTTGTACAAATCGTACAAACCACCCTCATACGTCGATTGCATTATTTAATCTTATGAAAAAATTTCATTAAATTGTTTAATCTTGTGAAATTGTTTCATATAATACTTTTGTTTTGATGAATTTGTTTCATATATGGTTATGAAGTTGTTTCATATAATATTTAATGAAATTTTAATAAAACTGTTTCATGTATTTTTCTAAAATTAAAATAATGAAGATGATAATATTAATGATTAACACTCTCCACAATAAAAATGGTTAATCAACCTCTCATAATTACAAAAAAATGAATAAAATAAAAAATTATGATTGATCGAATGTGGTTTTCACGGTTTGTATAAATTGGGTGGTTTTTATTTGAACGTTTATATATATATATATATATATATATATATATATATATAGGGGCC